CATTGAAGTGAAATTATATAGGGGCTCTGAATATAATTTCATTCCGAAATGAAATGAAATCTTAAATTACATTTCGTTTTCCATCCCTGCCTAAGGGTTGAAGTTTTGGCATGAAACTTTCAGGAATGATTCCTTTTGCCACTTGGAACACATCCATGCCGAGAAACCCGGTGTCAACATGTTCAACCCCTTCCCAGGGGAGAGCTACCCCCGAGTGACCGTGCACCCCTTTGGGAGGGGATGGAGAGCTGGGTCTATGCGGATCTGTTAAAGAACACCCCAAGAAAGCTTCCCTCAAATTTTCAAGTCGATCGGACCAACCATTTTGCGTACAAACTCGATAAAGTGGCATATCGTTCAAAAACTACCCCTAAGTTTAACTTGCCCTGTCGCCGAACTGAGAAGGGGTAGAGACCCCGCCCAAAGCGTCCCTCCTCGGCCCAACCTTCATCTCGAAGGCTGCAGAGTCTTGAGTCCCTGCGCTGACGTTGGAGGCCGTGAGACCGGTGTGAAGACGGTACTGCACTTGATCAGATGGCAAAGCCGGCACACGTTTGAGCTACACCGCCCAGATTTTGCACAGAGGTAGGCCGAATTGGTAACTAAATTATCATGAAGCATAATTATTTTCGAAAAACATCGAAGAAAATGTCACAATCTATGTGCATCTTCCTTACTTGAATTTCGACTTGGAATACGGACCATTTCAACAATTTTTTTCGATTCTTCTCATATTTTTAGACGATTAAGGTATCTATGCGGACTACCTCTGTGCAAAATCTGGGCAGTGTAGCTCAAACGGTTCCGGAGATATCGGCATTTGAAGACCACATTTTTGCTGCTTTAATGATGTTTTCTTACTAAAAATTGTCCAAACCAAACGAAAAACATAGTATGGGCAGCTAAAACTGGTGCGAATCTTCATCTACATATGTCCCCTGCAATATGTATCGCGCCCAGCGAAATTGGTGTGTTCCACCTAAAAACCTTCCCTTGTCAGCTCTGTACGAGAACTGTACGAGATGTGTCTGCGCAACTTGTAACTGCATTCTATCTGACTTGTGTGGCAATCTTATATGAACCGTGGCTGGGATCTAGCCACTTCCGAACCGAGTTACATTTGAGAAGAAACCCTAGCGTAGTGACTGAACGCAAATCAATTTCAAACGCTTTTTAGCCCGCCCTTCTGTTTTTAAAAAAGCATTATAGCAGGGTTATGCAACCGCTCTCGTGTCCGTCCGTCCGTCGTCCATGTAAGAGGAAGGAGATGAGCTAGAGGTCTGCAAATTTCAGGGTATCTTAGAGGTCACTCCTGGACAACGAAACGCCTGGTGCAAATCCTAGCACCCACCCCTAAGGGGGTGAAAGGGGGCAACAAAGAAATAGGGGTTGGTCCAAATAGTAGAACATAAAATTTGTTTTATGAACCCCTAAGGGGTAACTCGTGAAAGTAGAACCCTTCGGACTAAAATTTCGTCCGTTTGCCTCTATCTTGCACTGTTTGGGAGCTAGAGTGTTTTTTTTTTCGACGAAAATACGATGAAAATGACCACGTTGCACATGACGTACAAGGAGGCGTCTAATCGTAAAATGTCAGAGGAAATACCC